ATAAAAATTAAATTTAGAAAAATGAAAACATTTTAAATTATACTATTTATAATACCATCAAAACACACCAAATATCTAGGAATAAATCTATTGAAAGATGTGTAAGACCTCTACCTAGAAGGCAACTTTTTAACTTTTATTTTAAATTCAGAGATATATCATGTTCACAGATTGGAAGACACAATATTACAAAGATGTCAATTCTTCACATACTGATGCAGAGATACAATGAAATTCCAATGAAAATCCTGCAGGATTTTTGTGAAAACTTCCAGGCTGATTCTGAAATGTATATGGAAAAGCAAAGGGCCAAGACGCTCTCAAAGAAGATCAAAGTGGAGGAAGGATCACAGTCCTGAATATACTGTAATAAGTCATAAAACTGAATACTATATAGCAATAACAATAGAAGGAGAAAAACCCACAGCTACACCCAACAGCATGAACTAATCTCCCAAGCATAACAATGAAAAAAGGAAGCCAGGCAAAAAGGAAACCATACTAAGTAAGTTCAAAACCATGGAAAACTAATCTATGGTGTTAGCAGGCAGGACAGTAGTTATGTTTGATGAGAAGGTGATAAGGAGGAAACATGAGGATGGCTTTTAGGAGTAATGCTCTATTATTTAATCTGAGTTTTGGTTATGAGATATGTTCTCTTCTTGATATATCAGTGCACTTTTATATATTTAATTAAAAAGTAAATAATAACACACCATAAGGAAATGTGTTGAACATAAAGTAAATTACTTAAAGAACATGGGAAAGAGCAGATATAAAAATTATTATACAGAACATGTTAGATATGGAATGCCAAGGAGAGTCAATATTCTCATGACTTATGTTCCTAAAAAAGGGGACACAGCAAGTGAAACTGAAAAGATTTTCAAAAGACCAATAGATAAAAATTTCCTAAAACAGTCTTAGCTTACATCAAAAGAACATACCCTATCCTAGGAGATTCTAACTCATATGCTGGTGAAGTCATTAGACTTCAAAGAAAACTTCAAGGATTAAAGAAGAATCAAATAGGCATTAAGTCAGAAAAGAATTGAGGAAAATAATCTAAATTAGACTCCAATTTCCTATAAATTAAATACCAGTAGAGAATGGAGCAAAATTCTAAATAACTCTGGTTACTGAACAGAACATAAATATATTAGTTACAATAATAATGTAACTAACACAACACTGTGAAGAGGAAGGTGAGAGGCAGTGTCACTGTGTTGATGTGCATGTCATCACAGCAGGAGCCAAGGACAGAATGGGACCAAAGCTCAAGTGCAGTTTAGGAAAACATAACAAATCCAACTTCTTTCAATGTCACCTCAATTTCTTTTTTTTCTGCTAAACTCAAGTAAATTTAAGTTTAAAGTATTCATATTGAATAGTAGCATTTGGGGCACAGTGCCATTTTCCCTTTATTTATCCTTGTTTGTATGTCTGGAAGGATGTCTGGAATAATAGTTACCAACTGTTCAGTTAATGAGGATGTTTCTGGGAAGAATTTGTTTATTTGGGCTTTTTTTTTTTAATGTACTTTTCTTTTTTGTTTTGCTTCAACTTTTTATTTTTAAAAAAAATCATCACTCCAAAAAATGAATGAATTAATCATCTATGAAACACAGTCAAAGGAATTTCATTTTATTTTTTCCTGCCGAGTTGTAAAAACTAATTAAACCTACCCACTGCTTCCTTGATGGAAGCAATAAATATTCACAGAACTGGACACAGTTTGTTTTGTCAAGGATATATCTAATTATTACAAAATTATTAAAATAAAATGATAACTCTGCTATAGACTGAATGTTCGAGTCTCCCCAAAATTTGTATGTTGAAACAGAATCCCCAATGAGATGGTATTGGGGAGGAGCTTCTAAGAGGTGATTAAGTCATGAGGGTGGAGCCCTTATGAATGGGATTAGCGCCCTTACAAAAGAGACCCCAGAGAGCTCCCTCACCCTTTCTGCCACGTGAGGACACAGTGAGAAGATGGTCGTCTATGAACCAGGAAGTGGGCCCTCAACAGACACCGAATCTGCTGGCGCCTTGATCTTGGATTTCCCAGCCTCCAGAACTGTGAGAAATAAATCTCTGTTGTTATAAGCCACCTAGTATATGGCATTCTGTTATAGCAGCCTAAATGGATTAAGACAAATTTTCATGTAAGTTCATAGACCTCACAAAATTGTAGATTACTATCAATCAGGAATAAATTCAACCATAACTTATATGACAAAGACTCCTAAGAATTCTCTCTAGATTTCATAAATAATATTAATACGTCTACTACGTATTTTTTAAATTGTAAAATGGAAGTATCCGAATCATCCATAAAAAATTAAAAAGCAGAAAGTGCTTACTAATTGAGCATTTAGTTGATAATCACTCATGACACTTGGTGGTACAGCTAAA